CTAACTTCTTATCTTCTGGCCTTTTATTTGTCAAACATTTGTAGACTCTGACAGAATCCACTGGGTGGTCTTTTCACTAAGAAAAGCCATTACCTTGCTCTTCCACGGAAAGGTTGGAAAAAGAGATGGATGGATGGATGGATGGATGGATGGATGGATGGATGGATGGATGGATGGATGGATAAGAAGGGGGAAGATAAATGAGAGGGGAAGATAGCTGGCATCTTTAGAAATCTTGAAGAAGGACCCCTGGAAGTAGTATTACAGCTTAGCAGGACTGAATTGATTCCTCGACTTTAACATATTATGCATAACCCCATACCTATTTGAGAGAAATATTTGTAGCCTTCCTAGAATTAAGAACAGAGTTCAGAATTAGGAATAGCTGTATAATTATAATTTATTGTAAATTGTAATGTTAAAAGCTATTTTATGCACAGCTCAGTTGTCTTACCCTGTGTGTTCCAGGGTACACTTTTAGGACCTAAAACTTCTAGTTTGTATTTCTTAATACATGAAGTTCTTGCAGGAGCTTTGAAAGTTTCGATTTTTTATTCTAAATTCAGAGCAAATATTTAATTTTTTATGTAAGAGTAAGAGGTTAGTTCAGTAATAAGACTTGCTAATCCCTCTCTAAAATGTCATGGCATTCACAAATTATTCCGAAATTCTTCAAAGCTAGGGGTTTATAATGACATTAGTTATTCTAGTGTATATTTCAGAACTGTGTGCATCTCTCTTCCTGTTGCATTTTCCTTAACATTCTTACCTTTTAAAATGAGAAATTTTATTATTTTTTTCTTTAAAAATTACTGCTTTAATTGCAGGAAATATTTATCTTAAATAACTTAAAATAATATATAATGTTGTTAAAAGTAATTCTTGTGAAAAAGACAGTGATGTATCTTACATATACTGAACAGGTTTTGGAAAATATATTTTGACATGAACTATACCAGTATTTATGTATTTGGGAAATAATGAGAATCCCATGTCAACCACATCAAAATAAGCAACCCAGAGTCAGGAATATTGACTCCAATGAATATTAGTTCACTATTTTAAGAAAACTGAGTATAGTAGACTTGTGGGTGGTTATTTTTCAAAATGGAATTGTTTTGTGCAGCTCTATTTTCTAGAAATAAATGAAGAACTATGGAGGCTTTTCTTACTCTGTTCTTGTAGGAGTCTTTTGGTTTGAGAAAGGAACCTGCTTTATTAGGGTGAGGACAAAGAAAGAGAAGAATGCTTACCTTTGAGTAGAAACAACGCTTTGAAAATAAAGCAAAAGTTTTACATTTATTTGAAAGGGAGGCAGAGCTAGACAGGAATGATCCAGTTAGCTAGTTGAAGCTAATCTTTCGTAGCTTTGCTTTTGAGGACTAAGAGTAATTAATGCTTCTCTTTGTAAAGAGTCAAGCAAATAAGAGACTAGGGAAAACTGAGTGGCTATCACTATCGCAGGGCGATCTGTCAGAAGCCCTGAATCAGTGGTGGGCTGTAGGTACGAAAATGATGTTTTTGCATTTGGGAATACTGAGGTTTATCTTACCTGCAATGAAGAGTCTAGAAGTAAATCCAGCATGTGATCCTGTCCTATATAAAAGTGCCACCCAACCAACTTCCTTAGGTTATAAATAGAGATGATTTTAATCTATGTGCACTGCGTCTTTACTAAACTTTATTGCTGTCCTTAGCTTTTGGATTGCTGGGTGGTAGCAGAATGTCACGGAGGTACTATTTGGGTGTGAAGCAGGGTGAATTGTCTTCCCCTTTGTTGCAGATGGGCTTTGGAGACCTGTTAAACAGCCTATCTTATGTGTAGCTCATCCACTCGGTGTTTCCTTTGACAGTCAGGTGTCTCTTTTGACTCTGAGAGCAGCATCCTTTTCTTTACATAGGTTGAGAATGTAATGATTTGCAACTCTACTTTTACTATATTCTGAAATTGGTTATGGCTCCTTTGGGTTTTCAGTGGAAATCCGTGTTCATATTTTCTTCATGAGTGGGCTGTGATAGTCCAGGGAAGAACTTAATTCACACATACAGAAGGAAGCTTTGCCCTGAAGAGGTGGCACAATAACACAGCTTATTTCAAAGTTTCAGCAGCCAAGTTGGAAAAATCATTTCTTGTACGCTTCTTTTAGAACACATTTAAAACCTAATTTTAGAGATACCAGCTGTTTTAAGAGTCCTAATGGAAATTTTGTGCCACCAAAAATGAGGTATAAAAAAAAAAGTCTTAGTCTGAAAACTGATTAATTGTTTTGTCTTATAAAACCTGATTTATTTTATACTTTTTTATACCAAGCATTACCATTATAAAGCATTCCTTCTAATTGAGATAAATGTTTTAGAGCAAAGAAGTGGTTGGGGGGGGGGCATTCATTTTGAGTGCCGTTGTAATCAATTTTAGATACAGTATTCCACAATGGATCAGTTTGCATCCAAACCTGCCTTATTATGTAGAATTAACTTGTTGGTGATTGATAGTAATACTTCGCTGTCTTGAAAAGTCATTTGTTTCCAAACAAGTGTGATGGTTCATGAAAGTTTCAACATAGCACTTCTCATAATGAAAATATCTTGGTTGTGGGGACCTAATTTGAGCTTCTTCTTCTTTTTTTAATAAAAAAGGAAGTATATAAAGCATGAGGAAACTATGAATTCATTTTCAACAGAAAGTCTCCCTTTTCCTCCCAAAATATAGTATGCATCAGAGTGGATGCTCTTATACATCAAAAGAGATTATTGCATTTTGAGCCATCCCCTCCCCATTTTTATTTACATCAACATTCCAGTTGAGTATTTCAGAGTTTTTGAGAACTGGAGATGTGCATGTGCTATGATTTTATTTCCTAAGTGGAGAGATATTCTCCTGTCATGTATGCTGAGTTTTATAACACCACTGTGATATTTGCATTTGTTTCTTATCTCTATCTGATTGTCTTCAGTTTTGTCAGGTTCTACCAAAGTATAAACTAAGATTTTCTTAGACTTTGGTCCGTACTACAGTATGGACTGTACTACCTGCTTAAAGGCTCAGGGAAACAAAACATTGGAAGGTTAGACGATTAATCTAGAAAAGTACTCTGCTATACCTGTGAAATAAAGGTTTTCAAGATAAAGAGTTTTTTGTGATGCACATGATGATCTCGTAGTGACACTGCTCTTTCCTCCTCAGAGGAGCTATGCTTCTTGCTTTATTTTAAGCTTCTGGATAACAGTAGATTATTGGCATTGGGTTTGTGTTTTTCTGGTTTAAAACACTCATTTGAAAGTTTAAGTTGTTAAAATAAAGCAGGTGAAATGCCGTTTTGAAAGTGTTATCTTAGGCACCCATTTTGATATAAACTATGAAAACACGGAAGCATGTTCAAATATGAATAAGTGTTTTGCACACCTAAACTAGGATAGGATCCATTTATTTGAAGACATTTTGATAACTTCTTTCATACTTAATTGAATAACTGAGGTCATTGTATAGTCAGAACAAGCCATATCGACTTTGTTAATGATGATTTACTCAAGCCTGTAACTTGAGTTACTTGTAAATTAATGTCAGTATCAAGGAAAAAAAATCATAAGTCAGATGAATAGATAGTTGAAAGTAATGAAATGATGATGATGATGATAATGGTGCCTTTTGATAGTTTCTTGAACTCTTAGAGATGAGGGTTGACAACAAATCTGTGACAGGTGGCAGTCTTAACTGACTTCTGTGACTTTGTTCAGATAATAGACAGTTGCCTTAAGTCTAGAAATATGTAAATTTACATGTAACACATCAGAAAATTCTTTTTGTAAATTTGAAAGTTGGTTGTAGCTCGTGGAGATTATTTATTTATTTATTTATTTATTTATTTATTTATTTATTTATTCTTTTAGCATTTTCTAATACCAGTCTTCTAGTTCATACTGAAGCTTGGCAGAAGCAGACAATGCATTTTGAAAATTAAATTATTTAATAAATCATAGTGCACATAATCAGTTACATATAGAAGCCATTGTGGAATACTATTGGTTGGCAAGGTATTAACAAACATTGTAGAATATTAAGTATTGGGAGAGGGGAGAGAATGATGTCATTTGGGTATCATAATGCTGTTATATTGTTTAGTAATAACCAGGTATTTTATAAGTGGGCTTACTGGGTCTCTCTGCCTTAAGCCCAAAAGGAGATAAAGAAAAGAAGGGAGGCAAAGAGAAGGAAGGAAGAAAAAGACAGAGGGGTTGAAAGAGGGACTCTGAGTACCTTTTATAAAGAGTTATAGTCCAAGTGCATTCTCTGTATAGCACTGAGGTCCACAAGAAAAGCAACATAAAGAGCAGATTCTGGAATTTAAGTTGATTGGGTAAGTACGGATGAACATTAATGGAACAATTTTTCACTTTGAAGTATTTGGATTTTAGAACCCTGCATGAAAATTAGAACCTTGCTTTCTGAAACTGATGCAAGAATTTGGAATCTTATGAATAAGTCATTTTAATATAGAGGAGAGACAATGTCTTAACAGTCCATTTTATAGGCGTACTTTCTATGAATATAGGGCCAAGCATAAGTTTCCATATAGAGACTTAAATAAAAAACTCAAAACATGAATAATGAATAAGGTCATTACGAGGTAACTACAAAGGTCACTTATTTTTGATGATAAGGTTCTTTACCAAAGTATTTCCATCATCCTGTCATTTCCTCAATTAATAGTTAAAAGTATGCTGATAATTCTGCTCTCAGTTATTAAAACTTAGGAAGCAATAGCAGCCTGGTAATGACTGTCTTCCTACAGTCAGACTTTGAAGCAGCTCTGGTACCACAACTCTGATAGTAGAATTGTATGACAGTGATCCTTGCTGTCATACAATTCTACTATCCCCACCCCACCCCCGGTCCTGAGCAAAAGAAAGGAAAGCTGTCTTAAAAAAAAAAAAAAAAAAAAAAAAAAAAAAAGTGGAGTGAGTTATTTCATCTTGAGCTAAGCTCAAATCATATTCTACAGTTTGAATTGCTAGCCCCCTATCAGCACGAGGAGGTGTCTTTTTGAACAACAACGTGATCCCAAAGAAGAGGTCTTCATTCAAGACCGACTCCGCATCTCTATTGTGTCCAGCATTTGACTCGTGTACTGGGATGGTCTCCTAGGAGAGCTAATGCATATGGACTGCACTTTGGAAGGTATGTTATATAGAAAGTGAAAAATCATGATCGAATATTTTACTTTTAACTTAGCAATGAGGAATGCATAGGGTATTTTAATATGTTTGCATGAAGCCTGTGCATTATGTATTAATATTGGGATGTGTTTATTTTGATCATTATAAAAGTGAAGCTATTGAAAAGTACATCTATTGTTTGTTTTCAGTCTACCAGATGGTCTTTTAATGTGTAACATGTCTGCTCATACTCATAATTAAGGAATTTGGAATTTATCTACATGTAGGTGGGAAAACTTGGCAAGGAACTCTAAAAGCTTCAGCATCAGGCCTCTCTTTATTTAAAATAATCACTGAAAACCTGCAGTAGATATAGCTACAAATTTTATTATTTTCAGAATTGCCAATCATTTCTAGCTAAAGCCATCTTGAAAAAGAAAATTTTAACTTTTTCCCTCCTAGGAATAAGAACAAAAACTCCAATGATGTTACGTTATTTTTATATGGACAAGCAGAAATGAAATCAGTATTTCAGATGTTTTTTCATATGTTGTGTAATTATTAATTTCAAATGTAGGTTAAATAAGAATTCAGTGAAGTAAATACAGATAAATGGCTCCTAATAGGAAGGAATAGAGGCTCCTGTATGAATAACCATGTTTTGTCTTACGTAAAAAAAGCTAATGCTTCTCACAGGAATATTTCTGAGTCTAATGAGAGTGTCAATAAAAACAGGAGAATTTTTAATAGCCGAAACTTAGCCTTCATTTTCTTAGAAAGCATTTTCAACATTTCCAAATCATCGTGAAAGCACTGGGAAAAACCATAACCTCCTAGGGACATGAGAATGTGGATGTTGCTCTCTGAAACTATGAATGAACTGGAGTTCAGAAAAGGATGAGACTTAGAGAGATGCCCAGATGTTACTCTCAACAATCAGAACAGAACAGATGTGTCTATCGACAGGGTGGTGATAAGCTGGTGTTTCTGTGTTAAGTTAGCCTTCTTCCCCTAAGGGCGCATATTTACAATTGCAGTGAATTTTGATTTAGGCAAGAATCAAAGTTGTTACTCAAAGATGAGGTATCCTTCTTAGGTATAAATAGATTGCTCTATCATGTTTTCTGTGATTAAAAGAAAAACAAAGAAATCAAAGTTTTTCTTTAGTCATTGCATTTGTCCCAATATGTATAATCTCTCAGTAACAGCTCTCTGACAAATATTTTTACATACTGTATTCATGTAATTTGAATTACCAACAAATTTTTTTTTCACAATTACGAATTTTGAAGTTTTATTGTGACAGGAACTTTGAATCAGTATAAAGTATAAAATGATTTTTAAATTTTTGCTATTTTGTGTTTTTAGCCTGATTTAATTTTCTGTAGTGTATTAATTATTTTTAAGGTAATAGATATATAGTATTTTTAGGAGTTCTAACTTAAAGACAATAATTTAATGTAAAAGATATAATTTTAAAAATAAATTCAATTTATTTTCAAATTTATATATGTAAGATATAAAAACAATTCCTTTATTTGAAATACTTTTAATACAAAGAAGACCCATGCTATACCTTTAAAAATTCAAATATTGTGTCATTATAAAATTTAGCTAAAATGTGATAATTTCAACTATTTATGCATATGGCTTTTATCTGTTACATTTTTCTATTACCTAGGAAACTTGAGATTTTTCTTTACATGAATAATATGTCCGCAAGTCCTTAATTTAGGAATTAAAAAAGATTAGTAAACAAAATACACAGAAACTCACATCTGTTTTTAAGTTAGCCCAAAATCAAAAGTCATCCAATATATCTGGATGTCTAAATGAGTCACCAGTATATCTTAGTTTAATGTGTATCACATTTTACATTATTTAGACATTTAGAGATTAGGAAAATATCATTTAAACTATGCAGTCTACACAGATAATCAAAAAGTTACTACATACATGAAAGAAGAATGGTACATTTATATTATTAATTTGAAGTCATAAACCATGAATGCGTTTGTAAAGTTAAGATTATATTTTAAAGACTATCAATTCTTGCTATTCCAGGTGAATATAATTTCAATAATGTTAATAAAAATCTTCATTAACATATGATGTTGGCAAGTTGGGTCAACCCTTAGTGAGGCCATAATGGAAGTCTAATGTCTTTTCCCTTAAGTTTTAAATACTATCTGTAGTTAGTTTCAAATAAAACAATTCAACTCCAGTCTGCAGATGCTTGCTATCTAGGGGCAATTGTAATTCCAAAGAAAATACTGAGTACTTGTTTTGTTTGATGCCATCAGGTTAGTTTTTCTTAACATCATCTGATGGAAGTAGGATCTAAAGGCTGTATTGCACTTCAAGTAGGATTTTTATAATATCAAATCAGGTGAATTTTATATTTAACTATCTGCCAAGATTAATGTATACTACTTAAATCATTAATGTGTTACTTTTAATTTAAATAGAATAGGTTCCTGAATTGACTTGTAATTAGCATTTAAGTTGTGAAAAGACTATATAATTTGTTTTGAAAATTTTGGATGCTGAAAAAAAGCTAAGTATAAATATTTCCCTATCTTGAAAAAATATTACTAATGAAAAGCCTTTAAGAGAATCTCCTTATTACTTTTAATCTTCCTGTAAATTACACGTTCTAAGGTATTTTTACCTTTTAAATTTAAATGTACAACATAAAAATTTGCTTTAATAATACACACAATGTTTTTTATTTTCCAAAGGAAGTGTCTTGAGGCTTTGTATTTGAGGCTCTGATTCCATTAAGATTAACAATTGTTTGTATAAACGGCTAAATTTTTTTGTGGAAGACTGTTACATACTTTTTACGTTCTTATGACTTTGAAAGAGTAGCTCATCGAGCAGAGGCAGCTTGGGGCTCAGCTGACACTCTTTGATGAAGGATTACATATTCTCCTCTAATCTGTGATCCCAGGATCTAGTACACAATAGTTTTATCAAGGAGCACTAGGCTAGCTGGGCATGGTTTCATTTCCTCTAAACAGTTAGCTGATTTCTCATCCAGATCAAATATGTATATGGAATTTTACACTAAATATACATATGGGACATGAATTGGTACAATGCTTAAAATTAAAGATCAAAAACACTGAGGCAAAAAAGTTTTTGGAAGATGCTTTTTCATTAGGTGCAGATGATCAGAGCCCCCTAAAATTGTGGGGTTCTCAGTCACCAAATGCTAGATAGAGTATCTGGGATGGGGATGTCATTGGAGGTTCTTCCCTATTGCTAATACTGATAGCAACTTGTGTAGGAAAGAAACTAGTGACATACAAAAAGGAAATCTTCGCAGAAAGATCTATTAACTTATTTCTGGCCATGTATCTAAATTAGGGGGTGTGTTCTTTGCTGTGGTCATGGCTTGAAATTATAAAAGCATATTGTGTTTAATGTGGGCATGAGAGGTCAAAATAACTGTGTCATGGAGAGCTTCAATTTTGGTTTAAGAAATACCTTAAAAATTAAGTGGTCAGATGTTCTTATATCAGTTCCATTTAGTAAATATCAAATAGATGATGGAAACTTAAAAAAAATCAAATATCATTTAATTCGCACATTTCAATTTTAAAACACAAGTAATCCAATGTAAAAAAAAAAAGCAAAATTTATTGTGTGTAATTAATATGCTTAAATAAATGCACTGTTTCTTATGAGGCTAATAGCTTGTAAACTTTAAAAAGAGTAGCAGAGCAGCTTATAAAACAGCACAGTGAGAAGTGACAGTAAATTTTCCTACAGTCTCAGAGATTCTACTGTTCTGATGCTTGTTTGTGGAGGCATGTGTCAGCTTCAAAAGATAACTACACTGTGATGAGATCCCTATTCTGAGTTATCTGTGCAAATCCAAAAGCTGTTTTCTGTTTTAAATGCTAAATCGAAAGTACTTCGAAAGAACTTCCTACTTTATAGCTATTATAATATATGATATTTAAAATGAATAATGGTCATCAGGCTACCTAGATGTATGCACAAATTTTAATTTGTAGCATTTTTGAAGAGTAAGTTTAAATAACATCCTCCATGATCTTATGTAAATAATGTTCAAATTCCCAATATATGGCTGACAAAACACAGGGTTTAATATATGTTTTAGCTAGTCAACGGTTTGGGAATCATTCATCAACTTCCATGTTTCTAGTTCATAGAATATATGTGCTTTAATTTAGTGCTTTAGAGTAAGGCGGATTAAGGATTTTGAAGAGCAGTCTTCCTTCCTGTGTTTCATCAGCCCAATAGCTGAACCCTTACAATCCCTCTCTTGATTATTCTAAGCCGTTATCGGATTCTAATCTCTTCTGTCGCCACAGCTGTTGGAGAATTTGTTTTTCAATTGTAATTACAAATACATGTGTTGTATGCCACACACTCCTTGTAAATGTTTATAAAGAAAAGGCAAGCAGAACTCTGCTGTTTATAGATCCTTAGATTAATCTATTATTGAAAAATTACAATGTCAGTAGTTACAAAGAATTAGATGTAGACATGCTCAACAGTATTGCTTAACTGATATTAAGTGGGGAAAAAAAATAGAAAATTGAGCAATTCCTTCAGAGCAGGTAGTTTTGGTAAAGTTAAGCATGGCTGAATCAAGTTAATACCATACTTCTGCTACCATTTCCCCCAAATCATGGGCCTAGGGAAAATACTTTGGTGTCTCCTTCACCTTTTAAAAATCATCCAAGTATGATATTATAGAGAAAAATTCCTAAACCTTTGCATTTAATTTGATGTGCCATGTTGGAAACTAAATGACATCACCTGTGTGCTTAATAAATAGGCAGCAATTTAACCCTGTATAAATGAAAGAAGGTTTCACATTTTGGAGAAAAATAACAAAATGGAAACATCTAGTCATATAGAACCCTTAAGAAATGTTTCATTTGTTGGAACTGGTGGGATGACTCGGGGATTAAGGGCATTGACTGCTCTTCCAAAGGACATGAGTTAGATTTCCAGAACCCACTAGGTAGCTCAAACCCATCT